ACCTAACACAGACGATGATTAATATTGTTTACCTCCAATGAATTTTCAGACAAGCGGAAAGTTAACCACGAAGGAAGCTTAAATTATATATGACTGAAAACAAAGGAATAAACAAATCGTTTTCACTCACAGATGAACGTTTGCCGATTATTCTGTGCTTAAAAGCCTATAATGTAGTGAAAACGCAATAAAAAGGAAGAGCATAAGGTGAATTTTGGTTTAGAAATGTTGGGCTTTATGCAAGTTATAAACTGCTACCTTATTTGGAACAGTTTCGGTGTTGTTGGTTCCGTCTTCATCATACATATTTGACAGTCAGTGTAGACTGTAGCCCTTGGGATCGGATCGGGTCGGATAGTTGTCAAACGAACTTGTTGCACAGTGTCAAATATATATCGGAAATTTGCCTGAAAGCATAAAACGCATTATTTACGGATTCAGATAAAAAACAGGCACTGAAAAGGAAGAGCATCAGATACAGTTTTGTTTTAAATTTACAGGCATTATGCACGTTGTGTACTATAAACTTATTTAAAATTAAACTAGTTCGCCATTCTGGCAATTATCATAAACGATTCACAAACTTGCAGCACTTCATAAAGGATCTACTTACATTAACTGTCAAGGAAATTACAGTCAATATCTTACCCCGTGAAATACCAACCAAAATTCAGAAATGAATTTGCGATTCGAACAAACAAGTTATGGAGGGTTTTTATATTGAATACTGTATGGATTTATCTCAAGATATTTCCGTCAGGTCAATGCATCAGTTTTTGCACAGGCTTCTTGTTGATCGCCATCTGAACGTATTCAGTAGGTTGCCTAACTGATGAAATGTGAAGATCGAAATTTAAGTGGGCGGTACAACACATATTTGAGTTTCTTTATTTCATTCATTGAATTGACCTGAGTCGAGAAATACTGTTTACTAGGAAAAATTTCACTTCGGATCAGTATGCTGAAAGGAAATAAGCGCAGAATTTGTCGATATTCAGGGAAATTGCCACGTTATTAAACGCTGCGGACTAAAACTTCTTGCTTGTACGCGTTGTACTATAAAATAATATAAATAAAAACCAAAAGGCTTTTAAGTACGTCTTTTCCGAAAAAAGAAATTTCCGTTTCGCGATAATAAAATTGAATTAAATGCAAGTATGAGATAAAACATTGTATCCAGGAAATGAGGAGCGGATTCAGTTTAAAAAAATTTGTTTTTCAATTCTGCCACGTTTTGCGCCATAAAATTAAGTACCAGACATATAAGGCTGTAATCTGTTCTACCACTGCGAAAATAAGGGCGGTAAGCAAGAACGTATATGAGCACCCGAGGCATGGCGTCAATTTCGTCTGTCAAGTTGCATGCAAAAGATGGCGAAACACTTTTTATCTATAGTAGTGTCGTTCGTGAAGCAAATTTGCATGTACGGTAACCCTAAAGCTATCACATTCACAAACGTTTTCTGACTGCCAGCATGCCACTTTATTGTCTTTTACTTCTATCGATTATCCCCTTTGGTATTAGAGTGAAAAATCTGACGGGTTGAAGAACCCGAAAGCAATGACATTTCGCATGTTAATTCGACAAGTTCGTTTAAAGATTTTTGCATCCACTGAATTAATGAACTGTAGGGTATCGCAAACTCGGGACGGTTTTTAGCGAAGAAGGAAAATCCACAAACATGAACGAATCTTTTCTCCATGACCTGAAGAAGTTCACAGCTGACTTAACGAGGTGGCCCCGTCTGCCTGCGTCAGTGTGGTTCTCTTTCCAAACCTACGCCCTAGGCAGTCATAAAAGGGTGCATACTGTTAAGTAGCGCTTACGCTAATCAGATCCTATGCCCGACTGCCTCACCTAATATTGTAAGAGCAGTATTATGCGGAGCTTACCGCTGAAATCCGCAGATTTCTTAAACAGTGAGTTGTTACTGTTAAAGTATAGTAAGGGTAAACCCTATGTATTGATTGGGTTCACGGAGTGTGGAAAAGATAGAAAGTGGAAATGGGCGACAGACATTTGCTGCGTCTACTCCCACCACTACCATATACAGATTTGTATTTACTGATAAACAAGGATAGCTTCTTAGTCCTGGTTGGTAGCCAATGAAAAGAAATGCAGCTTCCATTGCTCTTAAAACGCAAAGACGAAGTAGCATTACTATTTACGAACTTGTCCGTTTCGGTTGACAAAGGGCGTGATCATCAGTGGCATTGTTAGTTAGTTGAATCAATCTTTACTGTGATAAGCCATTTTCAAAAGCAAGCCTATCTATATACTATGATACGATGAAGAAGAAATATTCGTTGGAAGAAAAAAGGTTACTTGTGGCTTTTGAAGTCGGTGACACCAGCCCATCCAGCAAAAAGAAGAAAGGAGAAAGTGAGATGTTCAGCTTATATCAGTTGGTGCGACAGGACAGACAGGTAGCCAATGTTTGAAGGGGGGTGTTGGACAAATAATTGCGGTTTGACTTGGGGCGGAGGAAGGGGATGAGGACCGCCACGGCTATCTGTGTACGAAGGGGAGGGAATAGTAAATAAACCGTCTTGAGACCTGTTCCAGGTTTTCAGCTGTCGTTTGCCGTGTCCGGAGTAGTGGGTGGCGAAACAATGGTATTCAACGTGGCCCAGCATGGATAAGCGGTCTTTGTAAGATCGTGAGCGTGAGTCAATGAACCGGGCACTCCTGCCTTTGTAATGAGCGTCCAAATCCACGTGACGCTTGATGCTTGTTGCGCTAGAGTGCCGAACCTCGAGGACTTATTGTGACGACACAAAGTGCACAACCCTGTCCGATTAAAATACTAAGGGGTTCAATCAAACTTTGTAGAACATTACTGAGTAAGCGTTTCGAATTGAAAATTAACTTTTGACACGCTTTATGAGAAACATTCAGAAATTAGGCTTTGTCATAATTATTTGTGTTTGAAAATATGTTTTTTTCAAATTTCATACTTACATGTGCGCTATATAATATTAATATTAAAATGTTATGATTTCCAATTTCAGAATAATTTTGAACTCTCTTTCTCGTAGAATTCGCGATTTGCAAGTATTCTCCGGGAGCTATATGCTCTTCGTGCAAGGAAAACGTAGATTCCCCCATACCATTAAAAATATGCTCCACGGATACGATGTTAGTTGAATGTAAAGTAGAGCGAGGAGATAGCTCGATATACCGGTGGATGTACCTGACGTCCGGATCACAAGTAAGTTTTGACCTCCTTGTTTGAGGCCTCGACCCATCCAGCCCATTCACTGTGACCACTGAGAAACCTATGACAGACGCCAATTGACCTGATTTAAGGTTTTAAGCTTCGTTTCGATGTACCGGGCAGACGTTTTAAACTAAGTTGAATCTTGGGTAAGAGCACCTCCTGGGATCGCAGAAGAGTCCTCATTTTTTATAACCACCTACTTACAAATGTTAAGTACGTTGAATTACCCAAACTCTTCCAAATATTTACACGCCAGCCGTTGATACAGCAGGAAATGTATGATGGCACTGAACGGCAGAGTGGTCCTCGAAAGCCAACCGCGTACAATAACCGCTTAAGTCAGTTTACTAAGCAAAAGTTATAACGACATATCAGGTTCCTTATTTCATCGTTAACTTTCATCGTTACCGCAGATGTGCATCACGCACCCGCCTTGCTGTTCACTTGTGAATCCATCACACAGGGCCTGGCGAACGGAAGCCGCCATCACAGGCATACATCCGCCGCATCCGACTTAACTCTCCGCACAGTCCACGCAAAGTAACACACCACATTGGCCTACTAGGCCACGTGTGTCTAAGGAGAACTTGTGTTAGGAAACCGTGGGCTCTAGCACATTACCACATCAATTCGTACTAGCATCCCTATCACACATGGTCATGCCCAATATCACACAACACCCGCAAATGTCACGTGGCAGAGAACTACGATCCTTGACCCCTTCTCCGTGTGGATTACCCCTTGCATGTTTAATCTGAGCCTAAATCATTTGCAGGGTGCTAGACACCACGGCTTGGAAGGTTGCAAACGTACTATGGAACTTAGACCTCGAAATCAAGCCAATATGTGTTTTTGTGGGCGAACTGAGTGGTCAGAAGGGGAAAGGGCGTTCACCGGGATAGGTATATTTTCTATCCGACGTTCCAGATAATTGTCTCGTCTATCCATCTTCAGAGAGTTAATACTTTGGCAAGACGCGGAGGGGGGCGATGCGACGCAGACAACCTGCGCGCGGAGAGATCAAATAAGCGCTGGCGCCCCAGTTGCAGACAGTATCGACGCAGAGCAGAGCACAGGTGACGGCTACCGCCTTCTGTCTTTTTTTTTGTGGTCATGACACAAGACAAAGATAGGAGAGAGTGAGAGAATGTGTTACATAAAGCGCAAATACGCTCTCACTATAATCTAAATTGCGCGCCATTAAACGAGCCTGATTCCAGCCTGTTGTGAGGCACGTGCGGACGTCAGCGAAACTGACGGTTGAATCGTATTATTTCAATTTACAGGTGGCGCCGAAAATCGATGGAAACTGTCGTACTACTTAAGTATTCATTTTTTGGAGTCAAATTTTTACGAGTGGCCTAAAACAAATACAGGTAAAATACCGCATGCAAGCGCGTCCGAAATTTTGAGCTCTTATGCGGCATACCGACTTTAATTGTAGTTTCTAATGGAAAATGCATTTCAGGATTTATGTGACATTTAATGAAAGCGCTCACCGAATGTGGCTTACTCCCATTGTATTCGCGATCAGCGTCACTACTTAAAGTAGCATACGCGTCGGTTTACTATGTGACCTTAAATATATTCCACTTGATCTGAACCGAACGTACAATTTTCGACTCAGAACTACTGTAATTGATTGAAATAGACTTAACGTTTCAGGTGGTAAGGATAGTTTGTAACCATAACCCAACAGTTCTGTTTGACGCAACCTACAGCAATGGTAACTAGCAGCATACTATCAAGTAGCTATGGTAGATAAATTAGCCCTACTTTTCAGATCTTAAGAGATTGGATGTCAATGCAAAGACCAACGACGTAAAATGAAATTATGTAGCACGTAGAGTAACCATCTGGGCTCGAGACAGAGGTTATTGCTTGCTCCTGAAGCTTATTTTCCTTGTGGCCTACGCTGATAACCGAACAAACGCCGAGATTATTGTTCTTTAAGGCTAAGAATAGAGTAAATCGGGGATGGTCAGAGGCATTTTGTGGTGCTCTGGGACAATTTTGTAGACACACGGAACTTGAGATTTTTTCGCAAATCCTGACCTATAAAGTTCTTTGAGAGGGCCGGATTGTTATAACGTTCCCCTGCGTCCCCTTATTTTCAGCATCAATAAGAACAATATTCTAAAGGGGAGAATGCCAATTACAGCGCTTTATTCCCTAAAGTTTTAAAGCTGTACCGGCACAAGTAATGTAACATTTTTTGATGAGTATAGCGCTGCACCTGCTCTCAAATTACAGAGTTTTCCACTTCAAAAGAAACGGTTTGTTAAGAGATTAATCTCTTTTCCTGTAGTTGGCCAACCTTACCTTAAAGTTGGCTGAAAATGAAAAAAGTAGAAATCATACGAAAACAGATAGAATATGTAGTTCACAGTTGCTTGTTAATATAATTATTTTTGGCTGTAATTAGTCTGTTGATCATCTTCTGTTGCATCCCCCATCTCTTGTGCGGGTGGAAAAGAACCACTGCCATATTACTTCCCAAAATCGAAGTGCCGCATATACCAGAATCCCAATTGACATGCAGAACACCTCCAGTAGGTCAGCGAGTTGATCCACTTTGTACAGATCCAATGCACTGGCGGCTTTTCCTGCTTCATGATAAAAATCCGATTTCCTCTGGGCAACCTTCCCATCAAAAGGGAAGCACCCTCCACCACTACCATAAATTTTAGAATAACCTGCAATTCTTCTAAGGTGTTCCTGGCATACTCTGTTGTGTATGTTTCTCCTGGTCAGACCGACGTATCTTATGTGCCGGTTTTCTCCTATACCACGAATGTAGTACACAGCTACCGCCACATTACACGATGTGTGTTCTGAGGATTTTCCGAAGGGGACCCTAGAGAATATATTTCCCATATTTGATGGATCAAGGTCACACAAGTGAAACCCATCCCGAGAGATATCAATAAATATCACCCTTCCGTTGACTGTAATGGAGAGGCGAAGGTTGCGAGTCTTCGGATTAATGCTAGCCGTAAATCCAGCCTCATACATTTCCTGCAGAATTTTAATAAACCTTTTCAAAAGAGCCTGCAATCTTTCTGAAGATTTTCTTTCGTCCTCCGTCAGGCCTTGTATTTCTTTCACAAGTTCTCGCAGACGTTTTATCAATTCTTCTGCTTCGGCTTCGGATGATCGATTTTCACAGGTGCGATGGTTTGGCGTACGATTTGGATCCTCACCGTCAGCACCATCCTTGTTATTTTCTGCTGGCCTTGACTGTGTTTTGCGGCTGTTTTGAGATTGTCTCCTTTCTTCCTCGGCGGCCTCCTGAGAAGCTCGTTCGAAATCATTAAATTCGCCTCTAAGTATTTCCGCCTCACGTATTTTGTCTCTGAAATTAAAAACGCCGGCTTTGTCGATTGAAACAAGGGAAGATAAAGGGGAAATGAGAATATTCAGCAATCTGTCGTTTCAATGTTTCAGCCCTATGCACATATTTATTCCTATATGAAATTGAAAATGAAATTTGTCGAGTGTACCGTTGGTCAACTGTTCCTCTCTATTCCAACCTGCGGGGAACACACAATGTAGATTGGATGATGCTTCGGTCGTAAGCATTCCATGAAACCCATTGTTCTTTCCTCTGAAATTGCGTTTTGTTCTATCGTTAACGTGTAAGTAAGTTGTCGAGCACGGGAGCCGAACGGAGATCCTCGGAACTGCAGTACATTCTGTCTAGTTCAACCTGAACGACTGAGCGCTGAACTCAGTTCGGGGCTGTATACTCAATTCCAAGAGCTGCGCGCAAGGAGAATTGACGTTTTGTTCAGGTGAAAAAAAGTATGACTTTTTCGAGTATCACTATCTAAAATTGAGCCGGGTTTGCACGTTGGGGGTAATTCCAAAGGCATTGGACAAAAGTAAGGTACGCTGTTATGATAGTGCTGTAATAAGCTACCATGTTCTTAGCATTTTAGAATGAGGGCTATCACTGAGGCGCTTGAGTTCTGTTTGGTATTTTTCATTACGTTACAGAAATTTGCTGGAGAAATGCATAAATTTTCATGAGAAAGACCACCTACTGCAAATGAAAACTTACTCAAGTTGCGAAATGAT